TTCCAGAAGCCTGATCCTATCTTAACGTCACAGACACTGTACCGTGCCTGCTGCACTGCTGTTACAGCCATACTGCCACTGTCCTCTAACTGCCAGCTTTGTGTCATTTCCTTCAAAGGGCTTCCTAGCACAGCAGGCAAGGGCTAAGGAAACAGTTTCAGAACATTGTAACACTTCAACCTTTTCTTCATGGCAAGATTTAAGATCCCGAATGCTTTTCTAGATATAGCCAGAGCCAGGCTGTATGGAAGAAAGTCAAAGGAAACCAAAATTCAAGGCCTACTGCTGAAAAGAAATACTAATTTTTAGAAAGCCCTTCTGAACTGCAAGTAGAAAAAGTTGAAGGAACCACTTTACATCATACCAGTATAAAACTTTAATGTCGTATTTTCTAATCTACAAGAAAACCAAATGAGAAAAATCTGTATGAAAATATACAGTAAAGTGTTTTTTCAACATTGCAAAAATTCTTCATATAGTCAGGTATGTACATAAGGAAGTTGCAGAGACTTGCAGAGTCTCATTTTTAAGCAGTTCCTATGTACTCCCTTCTATATGTAAAACATAACCTGTAACACCTTACACATCCACAAGTGTATTCATAACATACTTCTAAGTGTATTGTATCTTTTACATAGATTTCAGATTGATCATGACTGTTCTGCTGCTTACAACCAGAAATCAACAGAAGTTTACGTTACCACTGATGAACACCTTCTCAAGAATATTACAACTACATCGCTTGCGAATGGTAGCATTCCAAAGCAAACAAATTTCACATGTACGGAGCCCAGCCCATATACATCTGGCAGAGCAGGTTGTCATCACTTGCTTCTTGAATAAGGTAATGAACATGCCCTTCAATAGATAAGGGTAATCCTTTTATTCTGTTTCTAGTCTTAATGACACCTTGCAGCCGTTGTTCTATATCAAGGACGTGGGTTTTAGCCTGGAAACAAAAAAAGAAAAAAATTTGCTACTGTGCATGAACTTTCACTTCTTAAAATTAAAGAATATTTATTAGGATGTGTTTGAAATTTGTATGCTAATTTAATACAAAATCCAGACGTCTATACAAGTTACTTTGAAAATAAAGGATACTAACTTTTCAAAATCATTCTTTAAAATGGATAGATTATTGGTCAAGTTATAACTTTTGCCTTGCATTTTTACAGATAAAATTCACCAGAGAAGATGGAAAAATCTATGCAAATGTATTTGAAAATGTTAGAATGCTTTTCATACAATTACTTTCAAATAAATGGAAAATTTTCCCAGCGTTTTTCTTGGAATTTTGGATAAAACTGAGGAAGATACCTTGTCTGGAAAATTTAGACCAAAATGAACTGAAAATTAAGAATTCTAATAACAGGTTATGCTGAGCAACTCAAAATGAGCTGTTCCGAGTCCCACTAGAGGAGCTAGTTCATACCAATTACTCTCTCAAATTTTCTTTTAAAGCTCAAGCATAACATTGGCCTCTATCCAGAAAAAACAGTTAACACACACAGCTATGTGGGTGATCCAGTAACTGAAAGAAAGGGTATGTAGCCACAGCCTGGTTAGTAATTGTCTGAAGACCAGAAATCTTTCTGTGCTCAAATAGCTCAGTTAAGCTGTTGTAATACAGCTTCAACACTGTAGTTTGTCCTTATCTTAGCTACTGTGTTTATGAGTGTTCCCTAAGTTTTATCTGCTATTACACATAATTATTTTCACTAAATATTCCTTTTAAAGCAAAAAGAGACAAATCAGAATTTTTGCAAAGGGGAAAGAGAATAAATACTACAGGTTGTGCAAGATATATTTTGGACGGACAATATAGTATTTATCAGCGGCTACAAAAGAAACAGTACATATTAAATCCTAATTTTAAACAAGTATTCCTCACATGTCACAAGGCACATATATATTCAATAATAAACATCCACTCATGAGAAGCACAAAAAGATGCATGGAAAGGACTCCAGACGTGCATCGCTCTAGGTCTGGAGGACCGTGCAACAGTCAGTGAGGGGAAGCAGGAGCCTCATCCATCCTATTGCTTCTCTTGATTACATCCTTGATTTAGTAACACTAATAAGAGAATTATAGGCTCTATTTTGTTTGTTTCTTTAGGAGATAAAGTACATTTTCTATATATAAAAATGGTCTCTTTGTAGATAAAAATTATGAACAGAGATAATAAAAAAGAAACAACCAGAGGAATTTTTAAATGCAAGAAAAAACCAAGTTAAGGTTTATTTAGAATATATATAACTTGCAACCATAATGGACATTTGACATTCAAATACCTTATGCTATCTTTGTTTTCAACTAACCTTTTCATTGACAACTTCTCCAGTTTCGTTCACCTGTGCTTTTGTGTTCCCTTTAACAGGTTTACTCCATTCCACAAGAGGATCATGGAGAAAAGTCTTTAAGACACTAAATAAATTAAAAAATACAGAAAGGATAAAATACCAATAATACATTTAATTTTCAAAGCAAGAAAACTGAGAAGAGTCTAAAATTAGAGCTGAATATTTATATTGTTTTATATATAACTGCATGTTACAGTAAGACTGAGCTGCATGATAGGCAGATGCTGGAACTGGCATGTTCACCAGCAGTTACTGTTTCACATGTTTAGACTACAGACAGCTTTTTCAGAGTTTGCAACAAAACCAGCTGCCGTACCTCATTAGAGGCTCCCTTTGATCACGCATAAGCCTCATTGTGACTTCACAGGCTCTTCGGAAGAGACCTTCTGTTCCCATTGGACCCATTCCATTAACCATGTTGTGAGTGAGACGAAAAGGAACGATTTCCGGAACCTCAAAAGTTTCTCCCTTTACATTGATAAAAGAAGATTATTCCCTAAGCATTTTAAGGATTATTAAAGTAAAAGGTAACATTTGCATTGTTTTTCGGTTTTTTCCCCATCTTTGTCAGTGGCAGTCTCCTAGCTGACAAGAGATATTTACTCAGATCAGAGTCCTTCTCAGCTGTTAAAGGGGAACTAGAATGAATAAATGATATCAACACCCAAATAACCTTTCCCCCCAATTTTAATGCACTAATACAGGGTATAAAATTTTGTTCTAAAAATATACCGCTGCTCTGTAGTCTCATACAAAATGCTAACTTTTATAATACGCAAGTTAGCTTTAAAACATTTCTTTTTTTAATTAAGGGTTATGGAGGACAATTCGGGCTTACTAAAAAGAAAGCACGAGAAATAAACCAACAATATCCCTATTTCACTTATCTGAATTAGAAAGGGCACATATTTCACACCAAGAACATCTTTCAACAAAAACACCAAAACTCCAAATTCCACTCCAGCCACAATTTCTGCTGTTTCTTTTTACAGAACCATTGGAATTTTTGTGCTGAAGTTGTGTGAGGAAAAACAAAGAAACTCTTCAGAAAACTGAATTCTGAATGTAGCAATTACAGCTTTGTTTGGAGGGTGGTAGTGTAGAGAGGAGAGTCACAAAATACAAACACCCTTAAATTTGTGCCATTTCAGTGTATCCACATCAACTCCTCTGGTACTAGCTAACTCAAAAAGCTGGCTTTCATCAGTGCAGTATACAGAACAATCACATACTCTTTACATATCCCAGACTGTTTGGTATAAATAAGTAAGAGAGAGAGAGCACAACAGGTATGTTAAAGTAACAGAAGTGGAAAAAACCTAAGACAGCAGTTTATAACTTACATGTGTGTAAAATAAAGACCGAGTTCAGCAAGTAGCATTTCTCACCTTATTGAAAAGGCAGTTGAAATCCACATGCACACATTCGCCAGTCAAAGAATCAAACAGGATGTTTTCACCATGACGGTCTCCTAGACCAAGTATGTAACCTACCATTGACATCACTGCAACAGAACGACAATAGGCTGACCTACTATTGTACCTGTGGAAATAAGAATCAATATGTCTAAGTCACTTCCTTGGGTTATCTGTTTTCATTCAGTAATACCATTACCATTTAGGGAAAGATACAAAGTAGATATTCTTGAGCCAGCCCAATCCCAGTCACTCACCATGAAGTAGGATCAGGAAATGTTCTAAGAAACCATTCATGAAAGAGAGGAGGATGACGAGGCAGAAGGACTTCTTTGAACATTTTCAGCTTTTCAGGCAAAGGTGCTGACTTCGGAAGCATGTGCTGACGCAATTCTTTTCCGGTCATATAGATACCTGTAACAGACCTCCTCAATTAGGCAAAAGAAATGCCCAAATATAAAGCCTTATATGTACTACAATACAATATTTTAGAGAAGAGAAACATCTCCATGGAGTTGAAATAAATGGAAAATAACCCATAGAACGTGTTAGTGCTGGGGTACTGGAAAGTAAATTTCAAATCATCATCTTAACTGAAAGAGAAGACCTGGCAAACAAGCTGCTAGTTTTACCAATTGCCATGGGGTGGAATAGGGGGAACACATACAAAAGACCCCTACCCTTACAAAACCATACATTATATTCAGCTGAGATGCTTGGAGTTCCAAACTCACAGATGTCTGCATACATCCAGATAATGTGTGACATTTTTCCCCAAAATTTTATTGTACTGACCAGAAAGTTGCTTTCTTAATAATAAATTCAAAAGAAATCTGAGCTTTTCTCTGGAAAGTTGCCATACTCTCAGCCTTGCTTCAATTATAT